GAAATGCTGCTTGAGAGGTAAGGTGATCCCCTGCTTGCCTCAGTAAGCTGATCTCCACACGAGTCTGGAAGGAAAATCTCTCCTTAGCGTAAGCATGGTCTTGCACAATAGCCCAGGTGCATTAAAAATAAAGAGAAGGAAAAACTAAGTATTATCTCCAGGGTGCCTTGCACACATTAACTAAGGTTCATGTGGTGTCAATTCTCAGGAAGAGGCTAAGCTGCTACACAGAAAAATGAACTGAAAATCTGAGGTGCTTTGGTAACAAGGGAATACTTTGATCACTTCTGACTTGTACATGTAGCAAAAAACTATTCTTGTTTAGTTGGCCAGCTTGTAGTTTGGTTTTTGCATTACTGTACAGGCAGCATGTGATTTAAACTCTTCATTCATCTGTCTGTAGCTTTTTCCAGCTCTGGTGATGCAGCTAAGTTGTGCAACACTATCAAAATAACTGGGGTCACATACTAACATTAAATTATATTTTTGGCTTAGGAGGTTGTGTGAATTCGACCGTTGTGTTTCATGTTTTATAGCCAAATGCAGAGGGGCTATGTTTGAGGAGTTGAGAGCTGCAGTGCTGCCACCTGACTGCCTGAAGGGCTTCAGTGGCTTATCTGATGATGCTGTCATGTCACCAAAAGCACCAGTGCTGAATTTTTTGGTCTTCGGGTGGGTTAAAGGTGAGGATGAGAAAGGGAGGCCTCCCAGAACAACCCACTCCCATGCTTCCTCTTAAAAACACGAAACCCTGAAAAATAGACTATCCTTCTGAAATGGGGACATTTTTCCCCTGAATTTTAGCTGCATGATCTTGGTGTGATAGGTTGTCCACCTCTGGTTTACTTAAATATGTGTTCAATCATTCAACAGACGTGGCTAAAACAAGTTGAGCTTTAACACCAGATGAACCCAAGCAGCAGACATTGCATTTGGTATGTACTTACCGCCTCTGCTGATACAGTAGACTCCATTCAGCCCTGCCCAGCCAAAGGAGGTTTCTGATTCACGTCTTTATATCTGCATGGCACAGCCAAATCCCCAAAAGTACCAGGACTTAGCCAGTTGACCCAAGCTTTATTTGTTCACCAAGAGGGGATTCTTATTAACACAGACAGCTGAGCAAATGTTACTTGGCATTCTAAGAGCTGCTTCTTCAGAAAGGCAGGTGTCCCTGTATTTGGACCTTTTCTTTGTTAATTCTGGCTGGGAATCACTGTGGCTCTCTGGCCATTTTCACCTGCGTCCTATGTCAAGCAGGGCCTTATTTATAAGAAGATGGATGCTTCTTTCTGACAGTTATAAAGCCCACCTGGGTTTCTGATTTCCCAAGTTGAGGGGAATAGGATTCTGGCTGATCTGCCTGGGGGAAAATTTTGGTGAGCAGATTTACAAAACCACCTGTATGTAGCGCTGCTTGACTATTCAAGGGAACCTCGGTTGCCTCTGCCAGTTCTCCAAGGCAACCAGTGTCTTTTTTTCTAGGAGCAGAAACCTTCTAAGGTTACAACAGGGCCAGGGCACCATGCAGCGCCTTGGCATTCATTTTCTGGCAGGCTGGTTTCCAGGGTAAGGTGCAGACATCTTGCCATTAAATGCTCTTTAAACAAGGAGTTTACTTCAGTCTGAGAGCGTAGCTACAGAGTTCTCAAGCATTAACTTAAAGGCATCCTGCCAAGGAAGATTTCACCTGGGCTGAAAGTTTTGCTGGTTCAGTAAGGGGACGACATCCACTTCTTTCAGGTTTTCTTGAAACTACCAGAAGAGTCTTCAAATCCAGAGGATGTGCTGAATCCGAACACTTAGTCAAACAGGAAGTAGGTGCTTCTAGACACAGCTGACTTTGAAGGGCTCCTAGAGAAGAGTGTGGGTGGACAGTGACAAGTTCTTAAACAGAGGCCTCTATTGGCAAGGCGGCATTCCACAGAAGTTACGAGAAACAGTCTCTCCTCTTTACAGAACTTCCGTGTGGAATGTTGATTTCTGTTGGGTTCCCACATTTTCTAGTGTTTAATAAGGCAGCTTCTCAAAACCCAGCTCTTGGTTCTTCAGCAGGGGACTGCTAGGCTGTACTTTCTAATATACACAGTGGCAAGCTCGTTCCTGCATTTGTGTTGCTTGGTGTAGGAAAGGATGAGGGTTCCTCAAGTTACACTTCAGGTGTTACAAAGAAGTGTGGAAAAGGGAAAGAGAGTCAGCATTGATGTGTCCTGTTCTCCCCCGCCATACATTTGTAATGCTTCTCTGGAAGCCATGTCTCCTCATGCTGGTTTGGAAGATGATTCTATCTCCAGACTAAATATTGCTCCACAAAGGTCTGTTTAGTGGGAGAAGTACACCATACAGCGTGATAGGTATGAATGCTACACATAGCCTTTGCAACGGTGATTACGATCAAGTTGGAATGTTTTCTTTCTCTTAAAAGGTAGCAAAGGGTTTTTGTATTAAAGACAAATTACAACAATTCAGTTTCTTTTCCCATCCAGTTCTTGGCAAAGCCAGATGTGGGCGCTAAGTTAACCTTCCATGTCTGATGAAATTATTGAGAACGTAGCCATATGGTGACACTGTTGAAATAGCTGAGAGAGTTCATATTGGAAGACTACAATGTATTTGACATATGTTTCCACTGCAAGCCAAAGTTGGATTAATAGCCATGGCTGTTCCAGTGAATCCTGGAAGTGAAACCAGAGTCCTAACTACAGCTTTATAGGGAAGTTACCAGGCTGTAAATAAAAGCTTCCACTCTCCGTAGGAGCTAACCTGAGTGTCCTGCCTCCCAAGCTGTAGCACCTGGTTGTAAGAGAGAAGATGACCCCCACATTGACATTTCTGGAAAGTGTCTTCTCCTGGAGACCCCAGCCCAAAATCCTGTTTACTGGCCCAGTCTTTTAAAGTTTCTAATCTCGCAATTTGTGCTCATGTGCTTTGCCTCAAATTGGTTTCATTCTGTTTTTATTTTACACATTAATGTTCCTTAAAAAACATCCTGCGATACATAGCCTTGGTATTTTCCAGCATCCAGGGATGCGATAGATAGTTCTAGGAAGTGTGTGCCAGTTAGTGCCAGTGAAGGAGTACCAGTTAGTATTGACCAGATAACTTTCAGAACAAGAATTAGAATTTGGTCTTGGAACATCTTCTTGGAACCGGCGTTAGCCCTGCAAAGCTTTATGCCTTATCTCAATGCATTTCCTTAGGACTTTGGTAGCTGGCTGAAGAATACCAGTGAACTTGTGCAACATCACCTGTCTTGGCCCCTTGAACTTCTGAGGGCCTGTCTTCTAGAGCATGTATACTTGGTTACACTAGCTGTGGGCAGCAAACTGTTCCTGAGTTGAGCACTTTATCAAACTGACTGAGAATGTCTGAAGAGTGTTGTTTTTTCACAGGAGGATCAGGCATTGGCCTGGTATCTAGCAAAAGGTAGACTTTCCTATCTTGGCTAGCTTATTGGGGTCTTAATGATGCTGTTATGTAAATCCTGCCTGCCAAGGAATTTCAAAGGCACTTGAATTTTTGAGCTGCAGCCCCAGTAGATCCATGAGAACTGTTAGGTTATGTTGTCTTCCATCTTCTCCACTGTAGCATTATGCTTGTCAGAGTAGATGCTTATCTGATCTTCTGTCAGAAAGGGATCAGAGTGGAATATCAGGATACAGAAAGAGGCTAGGAAAATTCAGAGCAAGTGGATTGGAGACCTGGAGCACACTAGTGGACGCAACACGTTGGGCCTATATTTGTGGCTCAGAGTAGGGGTTTGGGGAGGCAGTGGAGTGCTACAAGTAGTATTGAGAAAGTGGGCAGCCCCTTGGGCTACAGGGCCCCACATAACTCTTTCTGCAAGGCCTGCTCAGTCGCTTTAAAAGAGGCACAATATTTAGTAAGCCTTCGGGGGGTGGGGGGCAGCTGTGGCTGTAGACTAGCCGAGAAGAGTGCCCAAAGTAAACTCGTTTGCTCTAAAATCCCTTTTGGTACATTTTTGTTTCATACAGTGGCTACGCAGCTGACGAAATTACGCACTGCATTCGACCACAGGATATCAAGGAGAGGAGAGCAGTGATCATCCTTCGGAAGTAAGTGGCAGAATTCCTTTGAAGAGAAGGTTATTTGTCTGTTGGTCTAAAAAAATTGAAGCCAGCCACTTTCACTGGTTTCTGATGCCAGATTTGAATTGGTACAACTGATTCTGACTCAGGCAGATTGTCCTCACCCCTGTGCGCGCGTGCGCGCGTGCGCTCTCTCTCTCTCTCTCTCTCTCTCTCAGTGCTTCTGAGATGCTGACTCTTGAAACATTTATTTAACGAGAGGGCAGACTTCTTGGATCCTTTCTGTAGCAGCATCTGATGAACCACTGAACTATGGGAAGCTGAGGATGGGGGGAGGCTGAGGAAGGACCTTCCTAATACACAAATGCCCTTATTTTTTAAGAGCTTGAAACTGGGGAGGTTGGAAGCGCACTAGATCGATCACACTAAAGGTCTACTTTCCCCCTTTTCGCTTCTCTCTTGTACATCTTGTGCCCCAGTGCCCCAGTAGAAGGCAGGGGCTCTGTTTGGCAGGTCTTAGTTGTGTTTGAACACTTTAATGCTTCAGCAGTTTTGCGCACAAGGAGAACCTGAATTAAACTGAACCTTGTGGTTCTACTACAGCAGCATGCTGTCATCCTGAAAGTGAAGGTGGTTGTATGCAGTTAGCCCAGGATATGTGCATATTGCTATCAAACTCTCTTGCAGGCTGGAAATAGATTAATTACTTCTGTAGTCGAGAGGGAAGCGGTGGTGTCATCTTATTTTTGTTAACCTTTGAGATTAGTGTCTCCAGTAATCTGTATCAGGAAAGCTGTTGGAAGAGAGTGCAGGGGCTTCAAGGCTTACACTGTAATAATTACCTTATTTTATATCTCAATTATTATGCTCCTATAAGCCTTCGAGATAGTTTACAACAATACTGTAAAACAAAACCCAGAATGTGAACTAAAATGATAACATCCAAAACTAAAGCATGCAAATCAGCAGTTAAAAGCATGTTCTGGGAGAGTGGGGCCCAAATGCACCTCCCTGGAGAGAGCATTCCAGAGCCTGGGAGCCCCCCAGGGAAGACACTTTCCTGCGCACCATAGCCACACCCCTGACAGCCGGGGGAATTTCTAAAGGGCCTCACTTGGTGATCTCAAATACCTGGGCAGGTTCATGGTGGGAGAGGCGGTCCTTTAGAGCTTCAGGACTTCAGAAGTCAACCCCAGTATCTTAATTTGTGTGTGTGAAGTGTCTGGCTGCCAGCATAGATCTTCCAGTGCTATCACATGCTCCTGTACCTTGCGCCAGTTAGCAGCTGGCCCCTGCATTTATCCAGCAGTGCAGCGTAAAGCTCTGTGCCAAGATTTTTGCACACATTTTATTCCTGCAGTCCTGGAGACCCAGCCCTTGCCAGAAAAGAGAGCACATCGCGGGGAATGATCTGGCGCTGGTTTGGCTTGAGTGGAATTTCCCTTAGGCTGCCTGGTTACTGGTGTGGTCATAAACACTTCAGGGCAGCTAAAGTGTGTATTTATGGGATCTTTTGTAGGCCAGGAAAGTAGTTGATGAACTTGGAACTTGAGCAGATGGAACAAAGGGGGGGAAAACGTGCTTGGTTTGTAGGGTAAGTGCAGGGAAAAAACACTGTAGTCCAGCTTGGTTCTCAGCAGATTTTACGAATGATAGTGAGAATTTTCCACTGTCCTCTTACTGTGTGGCAGACTTTGGAGCCTGTTTGAATTTTAGGATCAGTAACGAAATATCAAAGGGCATCTCAGTTCCTTGGCCATTGGCTGAGGCTGTGCTTTTGGGCTTCTGATGTTTCATACTTTTAAAAAGTCTTGAGGTAAATATCTTAGCATGGAATGGTCAGGTTCTTTAAAACATAAGGAAATGTGAATGAAAGCAAATTGAAAATGAATTATTAAAAATGTTAAAAGTATTTTTAAGCTACTAACAACAAAGGGCAACGTTACCGTTTTAAAAGCAGTTACTCTAAACTGGAATAGGCCAGTTCTCATCTTCACGCTTCCCAGAATACTTGACTATTTAATCAGCTGATCGGCATAACAATCTTAATTTCAAACTTGGATGTTTTTCTTTCACTCTTATGGAATGATTTTTTTTTTTTAATTCAATGAGAGAATAGTTTTGCATCCATGTAATAACTGCTCTGCTTGAATCATGTGGGACGGTGGAGGGTGCACTTATATAGTTCGTAGACTGCAGACTGATTTTGTAATACGGTTATGACAGAAGTTTGGCGGGGGGGTGTAGAGTCCAGCTGTCCTAGTAAGATTGGCATCTTCATGTCCCTTTTTACTTCTAGAACACTGAGGATATCTTAAAGTCCAGCCTGAAAAATAAAATGGATAATTTGGCAGATTGTGATAAAAGGAAAGACCTTTGATAGAGTATTTTGAGGCCTGCAGTGTTTTTAACTGTAATTTTCTTTAAAAACAAACAAACAAAGAAACTGGTGTACCAGGATTCAGTCTAAAAAAGGTTACCATTTCCTCATATTGAAATGAATAGCAGCTGAGGAGGAGATAAATCCATTGGGGGATGAAGGAGGCACTCGTTCCTGCTTGTGGCATTGGAGGGTTGGTGCGTGGTAGGCTTTCCCAGTCATACTTCAGTTCCCAAAATTCTCCAGGGATGCTCGGCATTGGAAGACTGTTGCCACGTCCTCCAGCTCCCAGGCGTTAGAAGTGACTGCGTGAGTGTTAGATACAAGGTGTTGTGTGATGAGTTGCGCCCGGGAACAGAGATGATACTGTCTTGTCTTAATACTTCCAGAACCAGACTAGATGCTCCCCGGCTGGAGACACGATCCCTGAGTAGCTCTGTGTTGGTACCTGGCTACGCTTCGGACCGTCTGTCGGGGAGCAATAGGGACCCCATCCTGAAGCCAAAGAGGTCCCACCGCAAAGCAGACCCTGATGCAGCTCATCGGTAAGAGACTCCTTGTGAGACAGGCTGGGGCTGCCGATTGTGCGTTGGGGAAGGGGGAAGCAAGAGAGTGGTTGAGTAGAATCTTGGCCACACTTAATAGCCCATGGATGCAGATCTTTTCACTTAAGTTCTGGGCTCCAGAATGAAACATGTAGGCTAGAACCCCCCAAGTGGTTTCTAGTTGCAAGATAAAGTTGGCCTTTGGAGTCGGTGGGAGTGCTGATAAAAGAGGCGTGTCATCTCTGGCTTCATCTGAACCTGGGCTTATAATGCAGGATAGCTTTCTCTCAATCATAAGTGTGGTTGGGTCTGCAACTTGCAGAACTCTGTCTTGGAATTATGGGAGCTGTAGTCCCTGCACATCTGGTGGGAGCTGGTGAGCTTGCAGTCCCAAACTTCAAGGATGTGCAGTCACTACGTTTGCACAACATGCTAGACTCACTGAAGTGTGTTTGGATAGTGCGTGGCTCAGCATTTTGTGGGAACCCAGCCACTGTCTTAGCATGTTCAGTAAACCAAGCGGTCCTGGTGTTTGGGCATAACGGAGTTACTGTGTTTTATTAACCCAGGTTTCAGGTTTTGTGTGAACACAGCCATCCTTTTCTGCATGGCAGTGCCTGGGTAGAAAAAGAAAAAGGGCATTTGAGAGGGAGCTTGTAAGAAGGCATTGGGAGTCATTAACAGAATCTTACAAGTCTGAAAGTACAGATCTCCCGTCGTCTCCTTTACAGTTTGGAAAGCTAGGGAGGGTCCCTTCTGAGCCTCTTTCTCCACCCATTATACAGCTGTGGGCTATGCTCTCTCTTATCTGACCATTTCCTAGGCAGCGCCTCTTCGCCCCGTTTCCCAAGGTCTTTCCCACATACCATTACACCCAAGCTGCTAGACATCCCTTGAACTCTCCCAGCCACTCTACTTGTCTCTTTCTTTCCACAGACCTCGAATTTTAGAAATGGATAAAGAGGAGAACAGGCGCTCAGTCCTCTTGCCGAAACACCGGAGGCGGAGTCATTTCAGCTCTGAGAACTATTGGCGAAAGTCTTACGAGTACACAGAAGACTTTGATGAAGAGGAGGAGGAGGACGGGAGTCCAGCACGGAAAGTGAAAATGAGGCGGCATTGAGGAATTCTTTTACACCCCCCCTCCTTCCCCAGTCTTAGAGGTGATGAGACTGGCCTTCAGGCTGTGAAATTGGATCTTTCCCCTCCTCTTCCTCCTCTTGCCCCTTTCTTGGTTATTTCTTGTTTAGCTTCAAGTTTATATTGCCCCTCCTCTTCCTGTTTTATCTTGAAAAAGAGCTGAAACAAATCTTCCTTCCTTCCTTCCTTCCTTCCTTCCTTCCTTCCTTCCTTCCTTCCTTCCTTCCTTCCTTCCTTCCTTCCCCATGCTGACTAGGATGTATGTGGTACCACCTGCCTGCTTTCTCCGGGCAGGTGGCTGTGCCTCATAGCAGAGGCAGCTTTTTTTTTCTTAAGAGGAAAAAAGCTACGTTGTTCCATCAGGCGTTGGGCTGGAGCAGATTTTGAAGATGCCAAAAAGTGATGTGTTTGAGTTTGCTGAGGGGTTGGAGATTTCCCTCTGCTCTGATGCTGCCGCTGCTTCTTCGGAAGGCTCCCAACGCAGCACTTTCACACCGCCATGGACGTGGCAAAGTCCCTCTCCTTTGCCCCCCTGCTCCGTCTTGCACCAAAGGGCTCCAGAGAGTTTCCAATGCTGACTCTTGTGTGAATTTTTCTCCTGCGGTGTTGAAAAGCTGCTTTCCTCCAGCCACTGGAAGTCCGAGCCTCGCCAGCTCCTCTTGACGACACCGGGTGGCAAAGCGCATAGGACATGTTGCACTTTAGTGTCAGGGTTTGTTCCCCTCCCCCCGTTTTCTGTGTCCTGTTCAATGCCATATTGTTTCCCTGCCCCTGACTTGCTTGGGCTAGCAAGCACCTGTGTTTTCCTGCGCTGCTGCTAAGAGTTTAGTCTGTTTTCTTTCTGTGAAGGATACTCAGCAGTTCCCCCTTTGGGCTGCTGCTCGAGGGCTCACTGAGGGAGGGGGGCGCTTGGCCAGAAACCCCAGGTTCTGCTGAACTCTTCACCCTGACAGCACCGGACGCAATGCACGGGCCGGAATTCCAGCGTCTGTCTTGCCTGCGTGCAAACCTCTCAATCACAGAGGTTGCTCTGCAGATCTTCTCTTCGTGCATTGAGCCCAGTAGAGTGACCTGCTGAGTTTGGTCTCTTCCCCGTCCTCATGGCCATATTTTAGCAAAGAATTTTACTATTACCGCTGTTGCTTCTGAGACTGGAAGGTCAACCTTAGGCTGCTATTCTTAAAGGCAGGTGGCCAGGTATTACAGAGCATTGATATCTCAGAGGTGGCAGGGATCCTTGGTGGAGTGATTCTCAGCCGTTGGCTCTGTTGCGTTGGGCTGTTTCCTGGTGAAGAAGGCTGGAGTGGCCAGTTAGCACCGTGCTGGAAACAGGAAGGCTCCTCTGCCCCAGGCGGGAGTAGAGGTTAAGTGGCATCATCAGCCCTGTTTTTGCTCCTCTCACTGATAGTCCTCATGTCTGAGCCTGCCCACCCCACCTCCCCTCTCAACGTTCAGTGATTTTTATTGCCTGTTTTACCTGCATGATAAGGTAATGTTGCCGCCAAAAAGTTAAACATCTGGCCTTGCTTAGCCTCAGACTGATGGAGTTGTCAGTTGGGAAATTAGGCCAGAACAGCATTCTTGCTCTTAAGGAGCAACTTTGATTATTGTTGCCCTGTTCTGCTCCAGAAGTAGAGATAGCTTTCATTTTCCTTTCTTTTTCTTTTTTTATATGATCTAAATACCTGCTGATAAATATTCTGATACACTCATGAGACGTGAGGAGGTTCTCCTCCTGCTTTCTGTCTCCTGGGCAGATAGCAAAGTTTGTCCCACTGGGGAGCAGCTGTGGTTGCAGCAGTGCCACGACGTGGGACTACAGGTGGTTTTAAGCAGCCCGTGTGCCTCCTCCTGTTAATTGCATGGCCAGCGCTATTTGCCAGGGAGCCGGGGAAGCTGTTGGGAGCAGGGATTCAACCTTCTCCTCCTGGGTACCTGTATAGGGAAGTGGAGCAGAACACCTCCTCACCCACCGCTGGCAGGTCCTGAAATAGCCTGATCGGCAGCTTATGGCCGGTGTAGGATTTGGTATCCCAGAATACATTCAGCTATTTACACTTTTGTAGTTGCAGAGGGCATGGAATGGCCAGTTTGGAGTTTGGAGTAAAGGTTTGGCCTTTCAGTGTTTTGGACCACCGGGGCTTTAATAAATGGGGAGGTGCTGTGAAGCATCACGCGGCTCCCGTCTCTGTCGAGCAGCCTCAGCCAACCCTGCACCTTTTGGTGGTTCTGGCCCAGCATCTCCTAGGTCCCAACCAGCATGCAATCCCAGCCCCTCCAGTAAAAGCGAAAGCTCTCTGTGTGTCCCTCTGCGCTGGGGATTGTTTGCTTGGTGGCAAGGTTGACTGGATCTGTGCCCCCACCTGTTTTTGTGTTGCTTTTTTAATGTTTTGCTTGAGGGTTTCTCATGGCCAGGGCAAGGTCAGCTGGTGCCAGGCAAGTGTAACAGACTGGATAGCCTTTGCTGAGAAAGCCTGTGGCAGAAGAAGCGTGTTAGCCTGCTGCTTTATTTTTATTTGATTTTATTTTTTCTGCCTCCCCCTTAAGCCTTTCCTGCCAGGAAAAAAAAATGCGTAGGTTGCTTTTCCAAGCATCTGGTGGACTGTGATAGATCTGTTGCCTTATCTGGTTCTTGCACCTGTTTCAATGTCAGTTCCATCTCTCCGGGAGCTCCACCAACATTGGAGTGTCTGACGTCTGCATCCCCCAAGGCCTGATATTCTTGGAACATCATGCAGATAGTTGAACTGGAGGGGGTCTATACACATGCTCTTTCCCCTCCCCATAGATGTCCCCCCCCCATGTTGGTTGACCTGGTTGTAAGATGCAGACCGATGGGTTTAAGGGAACACTCCATTCTCTGAGTTGGAAAATCTTCAAAGGAGGACTGAAATCCTTGTTTTAGTGCTGTTAGTGTGAGGTTTAAGAAGGGCCTTCCTGGAAAAGGATCCTGCCTTAGCCCATCAATCACACCCAAACTGTTTTGAAACCTGGAATTGGCACAACTGGGGTCTCTTTTCCAGTGATTAGCTGGTTTGGTTTTTCCCAGTGGTGTCGAACCTGAGTCAGAGGGCAAGCATTTTTATTTGCTTTAAAATGCACCTGGGTTTTCTCTCCCTGCACCACCCCTTTCCTTCCAAGCACACACTTTAAAATAAAGTTCTGGCTGACTTTTTGTGTTTTTTAAATAAAAAAAAAAATCTAATTGTTTTGTTACAAATAAAATAAGTGGCAATATTTTTTTCGGTAATTTTTCATAGGAAAAAGTGTGATTTGTAAACAAATTGTACAGTTCTGAAGTTTGGGATACATAAAATAACTGTACTGAGTGGCACGCTGTAAATGGGGTGGGGGGAGGGGAGAGATTATTTTCCGTACAGTGTATTTGGGGAGAAATCTTTTAATTCGGGTTGATTTAGGAAGAAATATAGTTCCCTGTCAGGGGGTTGAATTTTTTTTTTTTCTTGTATAGAATGCTGCATTTAACTAAATAAAAGCTGAAAGCACCACTTGATTGAGTTCAGTGTTTGGATCGATGCATTTTTAAATTGTAAGCGTTTTGCACAGTGCCGTTTCCACACTTCTTTACACGCTGAAAGATTTAGATGTTTCCTCTATTAACAATAACCTTGTGAGAGAGGTCAATGGTCAAGGGTGGATTGCATCTTTGGGTCTCTCTGGCCTCAAGTCCTTCAGGAGATCAGAAACTTTGGGACCAGGGAGGGGAGGGACCGGCTGCCCAGCTGGAATGACAGGACTGGGGAATTGTGAAATAAAAGCAATGATGTTGCCACGTCTTGTTTGTTTGGAGCATTGTCGGTTGCCATTGGCAAGCAGGTGGGGTTGGTCCCGAACACGTCCAGAAAGGGCTCCTGGCCTATCAAAGTTTTGTGATTTTAAGGGGTTCCCTAATGCAGCAGGCCCCGCTGGGCTCACAGAGATGCCGGGTGCAACCCCCATCATTCTCGGTCACCTTGAAGAATTCCCAGCCAGCACGATGGGCTTTGGATTGTAGTCCAACACAACTAGAGCGAAAGCTTCTACTGCTTCCTTATATATGGGGAATTCCTTCTTGGGGCAGGAATCGGTCCTCCACTTCCTGTTTATAGATGATTCATTCTTAATAGGGAAAGAGGATGGATCTGCTGAAGTGTTTTTTCTTAGCCCTACTTATGAATACCATTTTTATTAAGAATTTTAATTACAGTAGTAAAAACTAATACAAGCTAAACTTAGAGAAAGAGAAGAGAACGGAAAGAAAGAATCAAAAGAGCAGGAAAAAAGATAAAGAATAAAGAAAAAGAAAAATATATAACGAAATTACTTCCAACCTTCATCACTAGTATAAACAAATCTAATAACTCTTCGCCCCTTATAAGGTTAAGCAGATATCACTTCATCCCATATCCCATCCCTTATCTCTTAGCAAGTCTGTAAAACATCAACTTTTTAATCCTGGTGTCAGCAAAAAGTCCATAAAGGGTTGCTAGAACATAGCAAAAAAGATTTATTTTAACCCTGACCAAATAAACCAACTTTATATTCCTTCCTTTTACTTTTAACAGTCTTAATCTTTAATTCAATCAAGAATTGCCGTATTCGATTTCAATTCCCATCACACAGATGTCTTCAAGGCTTTAACAAGTCTCTTGTAGATCCCATAAGAAAACATTTTCCAGGTGGTTCTCTTGGGTTATCATTTATATTTCCCTTTTAATTTTTAAAACTTCAGCCGGTTTCTTTTGCATATCCGGTAAACCGTCCTTTTCCAAACCATTCCCTTGGCCGGTCACTTGTAGTTCCGCATTCTGTACTTTCTCTGTCTTGTCAAATAAAACTTTCTAGCCTTCCTGGTTTTGCAACGAGCACCAAGGCAGTCAGTCTCTCTCTCTTGAAATCTGGAACTGAATGGCCCAGCAGACCAGGGAAGAAAGTCCTGGATTTTTGCATTATTCTCCTAACCCACAAGGTGGTGCAGGATGCAAAGCTAAAGGCGGGGAAGGAAGCAAACGAGGTTAAATGTGCAGTGGAGATGTGCCGCACTAATAGTGCAATCAAGGAGAGGAGAAGAAACGTGCTTTGCATACCCACCCTCCCAGTTTTAGTCCTCAGCCTGTGATGGGGAAGAGACTAATCTGAACGTTTGGAGAGTGATGAGGGCTGGATTAAACAGCCCAAGTTGGTAGCCAGCAGTTGTCTAAATGCTACCTTGAAACGTGTAAGAGACAGCAAACCCTTTTTCTCTACTAGTGTCATGCTCTTGCGGGGGGGGGGGGTTTGGGCATCCTACGGGGGGGGGGGTTCCAAAACTGGGGGGGGGGGGGGGGATCTGGCATCCTACAGTGGGTGAGCTTTCAAAACTCGGGGGGGGGGGAGCAGATAACAAGCGTCCTGCCCCTGTGACTAATGCAATTAATTCTGCAGGAAAAGTAAACCCATTGCTATATTTAACTCGCCAAAGAAAGAGTTTTATTTACATAACTCTTTCTATTCTGCCTTTGCCCTCTCAAATGCCCCAAAACAGCTGCCCGTTTTATCCTCCTTGGTTTGGTGAGAGTGCAGGATCAGTAGTACTTCACAACCACCCCCAGTCTCTTAGATGTTGCTAACAGTCACTTAGAAATCATTCCAAAAATAAGTTTGAATTTTAACCTGTCTTTTTGCTCCCTAATACGGTCAAAGGAGCAGTGCGTGCATTACCTCAGCCTCGTTACAATGCAACGGTCAGCTTGCCCCTTTATATTATTGGGTTTTGACTGCATTTATGCCCTGCCTTTCTTTCGGGAGCGCCAAAGGGCTTATAGACGCGTCTCCCCTCCTTTCACCTCTGCAAAAACAAGCCTCAGAGGCAGATTGGGCTGAAGAGAAACTGATTCAGGTACCCTGAGCAAACCCTTGGCCCTCCAAGTCCAGCAACTTCACCACGCCATCCCGCTGGCTCTGCTTCCTCTGAAGAACCCAGGCTTGGCAAGAGAAAGGACCACACCTGTGGATGGGGGATCCGGGACTTCAGAGGTAACCTGCTTTTGTCGCCTTAAAGTCCTGATCCATGGATAGACCCAGATGTCTTCTAAGGGGCAGCTGTGAACCGCCTTGAAGCCTTCCTTTGCAGGAGGAGGTGGCTGTTGGGGTGAGCTGTGGACCATCCTCCAAAAACAAAAGTCTAGAAATACCAATGGGTGGCTTTGGGGTCTTTGGGGGTGTGAAGCAGATACCAAATAACAGCAGATGGAATGGCGCTGTTGGTGGTGAATGGCGTTCAGGGCAAAGACCTGAATGCAACGGGCGGAGGAGCTGCTGTGGGCTTTTTCAATTTCTGATTCAAAGGTTTTTCTCTTTGGTGTTCTTCCTGCAGCAGCCCTAATCTCTCTTGAAACCAGCTGCCGTTTGAAAAGATCGCACCCTGTTCCCAAGTCCAGATAGGCCTTTGTGAAGGACCTCCCCACCTTTCCAGCTGCGAGATGTCCACCTCCCCTTCCACTCTCCCATCAAGCCTCGTCCATCAGAGGCTGAGCCTGGCTGTGTCTCTTGAATCCCCCCCTCTTTTTTTCTTTTTAGGGTCCCTTCCTGCTTTACTTGAGAAGTCTCTGTTCCACATCAGTTCCATCAGAAAAGCCTTTGGATAGTCAGCATGCCCGTAAGTCTGCATCTAAAAGTTAAGGGGAGTCTGTGAGTCTGTTGTGTTACGTTGCTCGCCCTATCTGATTAAACCATGATCTGATGCTGGGTTAATGCAGGGCTCCACCCTTGGGAGGCTCATGCAGCACGTTGGGCAGCCATGATTCAGTTTGTGTTTTTAATTTGCTTTCTTGCAGGGAAGAACTTGAAAAACCGAGAATTGAGATTCAAGGAACGAGGTGACCCAGCATACAGACTCCCATCTGAAGTCTTGGTGGCAGTCTATGTGCTGGTTGCCTCTTTTTTTGAATCCATGAGATGCTCCAATGCCCTGCCTATCTGCCCACCCCGGGAACATGTGGCTGGGGTGTGTGAATGTGTACATGGGCACATGAAAGGGGGTGAGAGAGAGAGAAAGGGAGGTTCCAAGCAAGAACATCAAACTTCCTCACCTCTTAGCCATTAAACTGCAGCAAGCCTCAACCATGACCCTCCCTTGGCTTTTCAGAGTTGATGTTTCTGAAGATTTCTCAGGGTATATTTCAATCAGCATCAGGGCTGGATCACAGCCTTCCCTTAGAAAATGGGGTACAGCTGGCACACAGGTTCCTCCAAGAACTGAATCCAAGGAGGAGCTTAGCATACCGCCATCCTATCCCACCAGCAGACACAGCCGGTCCCTTTTACTGCGCCTCGGTTTACTGTCTCCACTCACCCCTTCCCAGCAGATTTCTCCAGCTGGAGGAGGAGGCAGGGACTGGGGAAGAGCATCTCACCCAGAGAGATGCCCTTCCCCGCCTGGCTCCTGGTCTTCTACCAACGCTGTTTCTCTCCAAATCAGGCCTGGCTGTCTGTGATGGGGTGGGTCTCCTCAGAGTAAGGCAACCCATGAACGGATCGGGGCAGTTCTTTTCACCAGGGAGAGGCCCACCATTTTTCTCCGGCTCACCCCCCTCTCTGGACCATCTTGCCCTGCTTACGCCAGGCACTCGGGCCCTAGGAAATATTTGCAATCCAAAGAGGAGGAGGACAGAGGGACAACTGTAACCCAGCATCTCCCAGCTGCAGAGGAACAAAAGTCGCTTTTGACACGCGCAGCTGAATGTGAGGCAAAGCCAACCGGCAGGGCCGGTAGGTCCCGTCAGCGCAGCATCGTTGGGTGCTAGTTCGTCCTTTTCAGGGGCTCCTGATCTCAGTTCAGGGATAAACCCACGACAGGTTCGTTCCTAGGGATGTCCATAAAGATCCGGGCAGGGAGAATAAGGGGGCAAGCCCATCTCTTTTTCCAGGGGGTGAGCGAGGAGCAAGACAGGCGGGGATGCGCATCTCTTGTCTTCCACATCTGACGGCCAGCTGCAGCCACAGGAACGCAGCGCAGCTCCAGCTGATGCTGACGGCGTCTGCTCTCTTTGGCTACAGAATCCTACGTGCTTGCTTCGTCGCACTCCGCCGTCCTCCGTGATTTCTTTTAAAAATGTCTGTATTCGCCGGGGTCCTGGCCCGCCTTTCCGCCCTGGCCCCCAGGTGCCGCTCCATCTCCCCCCGTATCCCTGGGGAGCAGGTGAGGCTTCAAGATATGCAGGAGCTCCCCAGTTCTAGTCCACCCCTTCCCCCTTCCTCACCGGGCTGCCAGGCCCCCATCTTTGACTGCCTGAAAAAGATGTCCTTACATCCGAGCGACTGTCCCGTCGGGCTAAGTCCTCTTCCCCACCCTGAAGGCACTGGCTGGCCAGGATTCTCTGCCGCCGTTGCCACCTTCACGGCACTTCAGGTACACCAAAGCACCCCTCTTTGGGTCTTCCACGCAGGCAGCAGAAGACGGTTTCTCCATGGACTTCCACGGTAGGTGACGACGTATGAAATGTATGCTGGCCACATCATTCTTTCGGGTTTGGATCGGAAAAGGGGAC